CAGCAACATAATAAAACTAATACATCAGGATCAAGTTAAATTTATTTCAGGAATACAAAGTTGGCTTAATACTTTTAAAAGGTAATGTAAATAGTACCATTAACAGAAAAAGATGATTATCTCAATAAAGAAAAAACCATTTTATAAAATTCAACACTCACTCATGATAAAACTCATGATATAAAGTAAGTAGGAAAGAAGAGAACTTTCTTTCTTTGATAGAGTATCTACAAAAAGCATGCAGTAAATATACTTAATAGTGGAATATTAAAAGCTTTCACTCTGAGATGGGGAATAAGATAAGATGCTTCCTCTCATTGGTTCAACAGTATTCCATACTGGTGCACCGGTGTCATAAAGCAAGACAACATTAAAAAGGAGTAAGACTCATAATTTTCAGATGACACAATTCTATGTAGAAAAATACAAAATAAATTACACGTGAACTATTACATTAATAAAGGAATTTGAATAAGGTTTCTGGATAATATGAAAAATATGTAGTTCTAAACACCAGCAACAAATAAAGTGAAATTTCAAAAGGATGCCATGTACGATAGCATAAAAAAAATTCAGTGGAAACATTAATCTACCAACAGGAGGTGCAAGATGATACACTGAAAAATACAAATATTGCTAGAAGAAATTGAAGAAAATCTTTGTAAGTGGAAGGATACTTCTGTGTATAGTTTGGTCGATGTTTTAAAGACGACAGTTATCCCCAAATTGATCTATAAATTCAAGGCAATCTCAATCAAAATGCAGGATTTGTGTGTGTGTGTGTGTGTGTGTGTGTGTGTGTGTGTGTGTGGCAATGGGCCAGTAAATGGATATGCAAAGCGTCAAGAATAGCAAAAACAATCTTACAGAGAAACAGCACTTGAGGACTTAGGTTACCAGATAAAGGATAGAAATTGAGACTGTAGTATTGGTACAGTCTAGGCAAACTGGCAAATAGAAGAAAACACCCAGAAACAGAAGTATACACAGATGGACAGTCAAATTATGACCACGGGGGGCTACAGTGAAGAAGGATAAGTCTCCCAACAATGGTACTGAATTAAGTGAATACCCACAGTTTAAAAAAAAAAAAAAATCTTGTCCCCTACTTCATACCATGCATAGAAATCAATCCTAGGATTGTAAAAAAGTAAAACAATAAATCTTTTAGAAAAAAAATTATAGAATATCACCTTGAAGTCAGGCAGGGATCTCTTTAAAACAGATCATAAAAGCAAGAGCCATAAAGAAAAGCTGACAGATGGAACATTAAAATCAGTAACTCCTACTCATCAAAAGATACTAGAGAGGGAGGCTAACAGAGAGAAAAGGCAAACCACAAAATGGAAGAAGATATTTACAACACATATCTGACAAGAACAAGCATCCTGAATAGGTAAAGAATAAGTCAATAAGAAAAAGTCAGATAGTTTCCCCCTCATCTTTCTCCCTTCTCCCTCCCCCCCAAAAAAGAAAAAGGGCAAGGCTCTTAAAATTCTTAAAGCGTTACTTTACAAAAGAGGGTATATATATGGCCAATAAACATAAAACATGCATTAGTTATCAAGGAAGTACAATTAAAACCATCACGAGATCCTACTGTATACTTGCCAGAATGTCTAAAATGAATGACAGACCACTCATTTACTTTCTGTCCCAATGGATCTGCCTATTCTGGACATTTAATGCAAATGGAATCTATATCGTGACTTTTTGAGACTGGCTTGGGAAAGCCCTTTAACAGTATGTTCTCAAGGTTTACCCATGTTGTGTCATGTATCAAAACTTCGTTCCTTTTTATAAGCTGAAAAATATTCCATTGTAGGATATGCCACATTTTGTCTCTCCATTTGTCTGTTGGTAGATGTTTGGGTTGTTGCGTGATGGGGCTATTATGAGTAATGCTGCTCTGACCATTTGCATACAAGTTTCTGTGATGCCATATGGTCTCAGTCTGTGGGGTATATATCCAGGAGGGGCACTGCTGGGTCATATGGTAACTATGTTCAATCTTAGCAGGAGCCGCCACACTGTTTCCCAAAGTGGCTGCTGTTTTACATTTTACATTCCCACCAGCAAAGTATGGAGGTTCTAATTTCTCCACCTCTTCACCAACACTCCTGTTTTGTTTTGGCTGTTAAGTGGTACCTCATTGTGGTCTTGATCTGCATTTCCCCACCTGCTAATGAGAAGCATCTTCTTGTGCTTGTCATTTGTGTATCTTTTTCAGAGAAATGTCTATTCAAATCCTTTGGCCATTTTTTTAAATGTTTTCTTTATTTCTGAGAGAGGCAGAGACACAGTAAGCAGGGGAGGGTCAGAGAGAGAGGGAGACACAGAATCTGAAGCAGGCTCCAGGCTCTGAGCTGGCTGTCAGCACAGAGCCCGACGTGGGGCTGGAACCCATAAACCGTGAGATCATGACCTGAGCCAAAGTCCGACGCTCAACCAACTGAGCCACCCAGGCGCCCCTCCTTTGGCCATTTTAACATTAGGTTACTGGTCTTACTATTGAGTTGTAAGAATTCTTTACATCATCTGAATACTAGACTCTTTAGACATATAATCTGCAAATATTTTCTTCCAGGAATGGATTTTTTTTTTTAAGATTTAATTTTAAGTAATCTCTACACCCAATGTGGGGCTTAAACTCACAACCCAGGGATCAAGGCATGCTCTACCGACTGAGCCAGCTAGGCACCCCAGGAATGGAAATTCTGAGAACCGTTTTGGAAAAATTGTTTAGCATTATCTACTAAAGCTGAATATACACATAGCCTATGGACCCAGCAATCCACATCTATGCATCTACTCAGCAGAAATGAGGACTTACTTTCCGCAAGACACATTTGAGAGTGTTCATAATAGCGCAATTCATAATAGCAAATGAAAAACTGAAAGCCACCCAATCATCCTGTAGGTAGGCTTGATGATGGTCCTACAAAGATGTTCATATCCTAATCCCTGGGACCTGTGAATGCTGCCTTATTAGGCAAAGGGATTCTGCAGATGTGATTAGGATTTTGAGAGGGGGAATCAGACTTCCAGTTTCCAAGACAGCAAGTAAGGAGTTTGGAAGTCATCTCTCCACTCTAACAAGCAAAATACTGAACTGAAAATTCAGCAACTCTTTAGATTTGCCAGAGAAGTGAGGTCCCAGGGCCAATCCCTGTCCCCCAAATTGGAGAGACTGTTGAGCAGACACAGAACGACAACTTGCTTAAACAGAAATTCCCAAGCAGAAACCTCTGAGGGAGACAGCACTGGGCTAGGAAAGCCTGAACTATAGTTGACAAGCTGCTGGTGGCTCAGAGTAGACAAGTCTGTGAGCTAAAAATCCCTGGTCATAGGGAATCCCCCCACTTCTGTAAGTTTTACCTCCAGGAGCTCTATCAGGATCTCAAAGGGAAAAAAAATCAGAGAAAAATCCCCTGGTGTTCCCCATCCAGCCATCCGGTCCCACCTAAGGGGTAGGTTTGCAGGTGGAGATGGAGACTGAGAAGCACTTGTGAACTTCCCAGCCCAGGGGCACAGGCTCACTGAGACCTAATCATAGGACTAGAGAATGCTTCCCCTCTCCCCAAACCTTACCACCACATTATTAACTGTCTATTCACTGGAGTTCTTTTTACCCAGTACCTCATGTCCGGCTATCAACAGAAAATTATAAGGCATAGTAAAAGGCAAAAAGTAGTTTGAAGAGACAGAGCAGAGCATCAGAAACAGATTCAGATATGGCAAAGAAGAAGAATTATCAGGCCATGATTTGAAAACAACTATGATTAATATGCTAAGGCCCTAAAAGAAAAAGTAGGCAACATGTAAGAACAGATGGGTAATATAAGTAGAAAGATGGAAATTCTAAGAAAGAACCAAAAAGAAACGCTAGAGATGAAAAAAACAAAAACAAAAACAAAAACTAAACTAACAGAAATGAAGAATGCTTTCATTGGGCTAATTAGTTGACAGGACATGACCAAGGAAAAAAATCTCTGAGTGACAGTATATGTTAACAGAATCTTCCGAAACTAAAAAGCTATTAGACGAAAGACCAGAGTTGCGGGGGTAGGGGGAGGGTGGAAGAGAGGTGGTGGTGGAATAGAATATCCTATTAACTGTAAGGCTACAAAGATGTAACATACACATAATACAGAAGAAAGGAACAAAGTAAATCTTTGAAGCAATAATGACTAAGAATTTCCCCCAAAGTAATGTCAACACACTAAACCACAGAGACAAAATGTTGATGGAACACTAAGAAGGATAAATCCCCAGATAATCACATGGATGCTGGCAAGAGGGACGTAGCAGGTTCAGGGCAAGAAGCGACGTGATGGAAGCACCGAGTTGAAGATGCTATGCCTTGAGGATGAAGGGACCAGGAACCCAAGGAATGCAAGTAGCCTCTAGAAGCTAGAAAGGAAGGAAACAGATGCTCTTTGGAGCCTCCAAAAGAAACCAGCCCTGCTAACCCCTTAACTTCAGCCCAGTAAGACTGATTTTGAACTTCGGACCCCCAGAATGGTAAAATACTAAATTTGCAGTGTTTCAAGCCACAAAATTTTGGTAACTTGTTACAGCTGCAATAGGAAACTGATACACCTCCATCAACAGCATAATGGATAAACGATAGTGTATTCGCACGATAGAATATTATGGTGCAATGAGAATGGATAATTATTGCTACATGTATTTGTTGATGTGCCACAGAACTAATACTGAAAGAAGCCTTGTACCGAAAGAATATACACTCTAAGATTCCACTTACATAAAGAGTATAAATAAATAAAACTTATCTACGGCTGTGGAAGTTGGGATAGTGGTCACTTGCCAGGTAGGGGTACTAATGAGGGGGCACACAGGAAGCACAGACGATGCCAGTAATGTCTTTCTTGATCGTGGTGCTGATCAGAGGTATTTCAAACCATATAACCTGAATTTGCACACTTTTCTGTACTGTATACTTCAATAAAAAGTGCTTAGAAACAAACAACAGAAAATTAAGTAGTTTAAAAACAAATTTCCTTGCAAAAAATAGGGACAAAAATTGGTTTAAGGTTTAAACACGGCAACACAAGGTTTTAGATTAAACTGAATAGCATATAAAGTGAACAATTACAGTTATTTCAGACAATGACTCAATTAATTCCAAGGATGTTCTAGTACATCTCCAATGTCAGAGAAAAATGAGTTGGTCTAAACATGCAAACACAGCAGACACGATGCACAGGCAGCAGTTTTTGTTCTGTCATTAGCTTCACTTACTTCAAGTACTGGCTTAGAAAAATCGCTCTTTTATAACACCATGACTACAGAACTAAAGATTCTATTACTGGCGTTTTTCATCTCACATTTCCTCAAAACAAAATGTTTTTACAAATTAGTTTTTCTGTGCCCATGACCAACCTAAGTTTTTCCCACCTTGAAACAAATCATTACCCTCTCATGTAACTGTAACATTTATATTCAACTATTAGGAGCCAAATACAATTTGAAAGTAAAGATTAAAGTCCTAATGAAAGGATTATGTTAGATAGTAGGGATATTGTCCTCAAACATTTTTGCTGAAAAAAAACTTTGGGATGTATATTTTAAAGTCATAATGAAGGCCAATTTAAGGGCAGTAGCCATTTTTTCCCAGTTAGTGGTAATGATTCAGTAAGTTAAATGTACATGGGTTCTTTAGTTGAACTTCAGTAAGAAGTCACATTGTTCTTATGAAGGTTCTAAAACAAGCATTTAAAAACAGTATTGAAAATTCAGGTGGAACTACTAACAACAAGTGTTCTCACCTGTAAGAGAGGAGCTATGTTAGTGCATTCGCCAAGCTTTTAAAACAGTTTCTGCCCAATAACTAATGATAAAAGGCTATATTTTTATCTACCAGAAATGCTGACATAAGATTCTGTAGTTCAAGACATGCTTGTGGGGAAGATGTGTGGATCAAGGTAAACTCCCAACTTAAGGAAACTTACAGGATAATGAATCTTATATAGTCACTTGTCTCTTACAAAGATCAGAATGCTTAATAATCCTATTAAGTCAAATACCTTAAAATACTAATGAATCTTACTCATGGTCTGATAAATACAAATTATATATAAGAGAATACAACAAGTTATTTGAACCTGAATGCAGAGAATAAATACTTTATTAACTGATTACAGTTGAAAGTCACAAACAAAAAAGGGGCATATTAAGGCAGAGCCATATATATATCTATATCTACGTATCGATACAGATATAGACAAATCCAAAGATGGTTACCTCTTTACACTTTAATAACCTCTGCATTTTTCTTTTATGCATTTAGGCAGTGTGCTTTCTTTCTTCTCAGTTAAAGAATGAATCCTGGCCAATATTCAAAATCCTAGTTTGATGACAACTTACAGGATCATGAATCGAGACAATGACTAGCGTGTAAAATGCTATCTGACAGTTTTCTCAGCATATTCCATGTGTGGTGGTGTATTTACTTTGGCGTGGAAAATCTGACAATTGATCATTTTCTCTTTTCCAGCAAAACTAACACATAATTTTTCAAGTGATTTTAATAGTCTTAACTAAAATAAGTTTGGACTTCCAAGTCAGTCAAATGCCCAAAGCATATTATTTTCTGCCTTTTCCTAAACCCTCCTATGTTTTAAATAGCCTTTAGAGTATGGTCACATGGCTGTATTTCAGATCTATAAATTTTGAGTTTTTCAAAATCCAAAATTATTTCTTATGCAAAGTGGCAATGTAAACAGCAATCCTACATAGTGTAATTTTTCTTCTGTACAGCTTTCTTTTATAAAAATGGGCAACCACAAAAAAAAAGAAAAAAAAAAATTTAGTCCATCTGAAAAGCACTCCAGTTCCCTAATTCCACTTTTGAAGGAGAAGGCAGAGGCAAGTTTACATTATCCCAGAAAACTGAATAAATGGCTTTATTTGGTATCTTCAAGAAGCTTCTCCTTCTGTAGGAGATGTAGGTGTTGTAGGGGAAACTGTAACTGGTTTGCGTGCAATTCTGTCTAGTTCCGCATGAACATCCGAGAGGACAGGCTTCTGGCCTACATTGAAAGACAAGAAACAAGATTTAGATAGAAACAGAAGTACCTTTTACACCAATGTCTCTTCATTTAAAGACTGGCAAGGGTTTCATTAACTTTTTCCAATATACTAAGTGATATAAACATTCTTAATTTAAAAATAAGTCCCCTCAGGGGCGCCTGGGTGGCTCAGTCAGTTAAGCGTCCGACTTCGGCTCAGAGCATGATCTCACCGTTCGTGGGTTCGAGCCCCGTGTCGGGCTGACAGCTAGCTCAGAGCCTGGAGCCTGCTTCTGATTCTGACCCTCTCCTGCTCATGCTGTCTCTCTCTCAGAAATAAATAAAACATTAAAAAAAAATTTTTTTAATTAAAAAAAAAAGAAAATAAGTCCCCTCAAAAAAAAAAATCACCTCATGTTACTTATTTAAAAATGTATTAAAATTTATATTATTTATTAAAAAATTTTTTTTAAGTTTATTTACTTATTTTGAGACAGAGAGAGGCAGAGAGAGGCAGAGAGAGGGTCCCAAGCAGGTATGTGGGTTTGAGGCCTGCATCAGGCTCTGTGCTGACAGTGTACTGCCTGCTTGGGATTCTCTCTCTCTCTGTCTCTGTGCCCTTCCCCTGCTCATGCTCTCTCACTATGTCTGTGTGGCTCTCTCTCAAAATAAATAAATAAATTAAAAAAAAAAAATTCAGATGCTTAACTGAGAGAGCCACCTAGGCACCTCTAAATCCCTTCATTTTACATTATAGGGTCTGGTACCAAATGCAAGTAAAACTAGTACCTATCATTTAATCTCATAAAAACATTTTTTAAAAAGGCACAGGACAGTAAGAACAGTAAAATAGGAAATAGCAACAAAATTTTGGAATGTAGAAAGAAGATGAATGAGTGGTAACTAAATTAGCAGTCTTAAGAAAGCTCAATCATTTACACTGGAAGTGGGAAAAACCAGGAAGGAATTTAGTTCATACCCAGTAAAAGGTTCCAAAAACAGGAGCTGTACAATGGTATTTGTGGAAAGGGTGGCAAGAAGATGGGATTAAAAGGGTTAAAGGATTAAAAGATGGGATTAAAAGATGGGTTAAAAAGTCTGTTTTTTTTTTTTAAATGTTTGTTTCTTTTGAAAGAGAGAGAAAGAGTGCATGTGCAGGGGAGAGGCAGGGGACGAGGGACAGAGAATCCCAAGCAGGCCCTGTGCCATCAGCCCGGAGCCCGATGTGGGGGCTCCATCTCGCAAACCACCAGACATGACCTGAGCTGAGGTCAAGAGTCGGTTGCTTAACTGACGGAGCCATCCAAGTGCCCCTAAAAAATGTTTAAAGAGCAGTTGCACAAGCAACAAAAGAAAAATAAACTGGACTTCATCACAATTAAAAAACTTTCATGCTTCACAGGAAACAACCTCCTTGACCTCCACCGCAGCAACTTCTTACTTGACACATCCCCAAAAGCAAGGGAATCGAGAGGAAAAATAAACTGTTGGGACCTCATCAAGATTAAAAGCTTCTGCACAGCAAAGGAAACAACCCAGAAAATTAATAGGCAACCAACGGAATGGGAAAAGATAGGTGCAAATGACATATCAGATAAAGGGTTAATATCCAGAATCTATAAGGAACTCACCAAACTCCACGCCCGAAAAACAAACAACCCAGTGAAGAAATGGGCAGAAGACATGAACAGACACTTCTCCAAAGAGGACATCCAGATGGCCAACAGACACATGAAACGATGCTCAGCATCCCTCCTCATCAGGGAAATACAAATCAAAACCACACTGAGATACCACCTCACGCCAGTCAGAGTGGCTAAAATGAGCAAATCAGAGAACTCTAGATGCTGGCGAGGATGTGGAGAAACGGGCACCCTCCTGCACTGTTGGTGGGAATGTAAACTGGTACAGCCCCTCTGGAAAACAGTGTGGAGGTTCCTCAGGAAACTAACAATAGAACTCCCTTATGACCCAGCAATAGCACTGCTAGGAATTTACCCAAGGGATACAGAAATGCTGAGGCATAGGAGCACATGTACCCCAATGTTCATAGCAGCACTCTCCACAATAGCTAAAACATGGAAAGAGCCTAAGTGTCCATCAACAGATGAATGGATCAAGAAGATGTGGTTTATCTATACCATGGAATACTACATGGCAATGAGAAACAATGAAATCTGGCCATGTGTAGCAACATGGATGGACCTTGAGGGTGTTATGCTGAGCGAAATAAGTCAGGCAGAGAAGGACAAATATCATATGTTTGCACGTATAGGAGGATTAGGAGGAACTTGACGGAGGAACAAGGGGGAGAAGAAGGGCGGAAATGGTGGGGGAAAGGGAGAGAGGCAAACCATGAGAGACTCTTGAATGCTGACAAAAACTGAGGACTGATGGATGTGGGGGGGAGGGGGGGATGGGCATGAAGGAGGGCACTTTGGGGATGAGCACTGAGTGTTATGTAGAAACTAATTTGACAATAAACTATTTGTAAAAATAAATAAATAAATAAATAAATAAATAAATAAATAAATAAATAAAAATAAAAAAAAAAACTTTCATGCTTCATAGAACATCACACCACTGAGAAGTAAAAGGACAAGCAACACGATACGAGAGAAATCTTGCAAATCCCGTACCTGGTACGGGTCTGGTAGACAGAACATAAAAACAACACTTAAAACTCAAATATAAAAAGACAAATAACCCAAGTTAAAAATAGGCAAGGGATGGGGCGCCTGGGTGGCTCAGTAAGTTAAGCGTCCGACTTCGGCTCAGGTCATGGTCTCCCGTTCGTGGGAGCCCATGTCGGGGTCTGTGCTGACAGCTAGCTCAGAGCCTGGAACCTGTTTCAGATTCTGTATCTTCCTCTCTCTCTGACCCTCCCCTGCTCATGCTGTCTTGCTATCTCTCTCTCTCTCTCTCTCTCAGAAATAAATAAAACATTAAAAAAACTAAAAAAGGAACAGCTTAAAAAAAAAAATGGGCAAGGGATTTGAACAGACATTTCTCCAAAGAAGATCTACAAATGGTCAATAAACACATGAAAAGATTCTCAACATCATTAGCCACGAAGGATATGCAAATCGAAACGACAATGAGATATGACTTCACAGCCACTAGGATGGCTCTAATCACAAAGATGGACAGTAACAAATGTTGTAGAGGATGTGGAGGAATTAGGACCCTCATTCCCCACTGCTGGAAATATAAAATGGTGCAGCATTTTACAAACACTTTGGTAGTTCTTCAAACACCTAAACAGAGTGACCCTATGACCCAATAATTCCACTTCCGGGTATATACCCAAAGAGATGAAAACATGTCATTTGTCAGACATGTGTCAAAACCCATGTTCACAGTGGTACTATTTATAATGGCCAAAAAATGGAAACAATCCAATGTCCATCAACTGATGAGTGGACATATAAAATGTGGCATATCTGCACAATGGAATTTTACTCAGCAATAAAAAGAAATGCAATAAGGTTATCTGCTACAGTATGGACGGGCCTTGAAAACGTTATTGAAAACATTAAACAAGATACATACTATAAACAAGATACATACTATATGATTCCATTTGTATGAAATCTCCAGATAGGGAAACCCACAGAGACAGAAAGCAGATCAGTGTTGCCTAGCACTGGGGGTGGTGGGGGACAAAAGAAGTTACGGCAAACAGGCAGGTTTCTTTTTCGGAAGATTAGAATGTTTTAAAATTAGATTATGATGACAGTGTGCACAACTCTGTAAATATACCATAACTACTGAATTGTACACTTCAAAGGAGTAAACCTCATGGTATATAAATTATACCTCAATAAAGCTATTAAAAACTACAAGTTCTCAGTAACTATACCTGATTTTTTGGCGGATGGTGGTAAAGCACTGCCTCCACCTGCAGCCCCACCTCCAGGGCTCCCACTGCCAACCCCAGGGCCTCCTGGAGAACCAGTCTTTTTACTCAGCAAGCTATTGAAGAAATTTGCCAGGACACCTTCACTGGTAGCTCCAGCTATTACAAAACAAACCAAAAAAATTTCACTCAAAACATTAGATTCTTCTACAAATTTTTATTACAATAATCACACACAAAAAGCAATTAATACGTTAATGTGTTCCAAATTCAAGTCTACTTTGTTCTTTTGAGTCTGGGTAATTCACCTCTAATCTATTCATATAAAAACAAAATACGAGTAAAACAAGAGTATAAGATAGCAATTAAAAAATTAGATTATTAATAAACCCAAAATCATTTAAAACAGATGTTAGATGCTACTGTACCTCCTTTTTCAAAAAGGTTCTTCAAAAATGTAACTACTGAGAAATATTTGCCTCAAGTATTAAAAAAGCTACCTAATCTTGTATGAAAACCAGTAGAAGTTCCAACAGGTAAGTGAGTACAGGATAACAAGAAATAATCCACAGAAGAGAAATATAAATAGAAAGGAAATACTAGGGGGAAAGCTCTTACTAGTATTTAAAGAATGCTGATTAGGTTGTGGCAAAATTGCAATACTCCACGTTGATGACATGGAAATAAGCCATTTGAAAATCATTATCAAAAGGCACAAAAATGTACAAACTCTGACCTACTAATCCCACTTGTGGCAATTACTCCTATTGAGATAACTTTCAGGCATACAGTTTTTTATGTTAACTGCGGATAACCTATTAACATAATGAATTTCTTCAATGACCTATGCTAGAAGAATTAAATGTAACACAAAACCGTCACAGAGCTTACCTGATAGGATAGATTAAGGCTATCCTAAAAATGGTTTGCGGTCTGAATGACTATGAGATTGTATCGACATAGAAGCTATTGCACAAAAATGAAAACAGTTACAACTGGAGAAGGCTGGAATCTAGGTAGATTTCTTTTGAGTGTAGAAGACACTGTGTTGCTTTCTGCCAGAAGAGAGAGAAATGTACCTTTCATGTTTGGATCGATCTTTTTGGACCCAGCAGGGATGGGCGACACGCTGGCAACATTGGATGACACAGATCGATTTGGTGTTCGAGGGGAGCCTCCTGGGACTCTTGGAGAGGTGTCCTATGTAAAGATTAGGAAAGCCATAATTATAAAAACCTGAAACTTCCAACTTCACAAAAGTTATTATTATAGAATAAAATTACTTTTTAACTGTCCCCCATCTGCTCTACTGGTACTTTTACACAGCAAGTCATTGCCAAAAATGTTTAGCAACTGTGCCCTTAGAATCAGAAAATATCAGAGACCTATCACATTCTAGAACACAAATTCCCCTTCAGTGGAAAAAGAATATATTCAGTAATGGGGTGTGGTTACGAGCAGAGGCTTAGGGGTCGGATCTGGATTCCAATCTGGACTTGCATCCTACTAGCTGTAAAGTCTCAGGTAAGCTGTAACATCCTCCAAAGCCTCCATTTCCCCACCTGCAAAATGGGGCTGACAGCGGTGGGGACAATTTATAAAACAACACATAGGAAGGGGTCCACACAGTAACAGGTGCATGACAAACACTGCAAAACAGTTCTTTATGATTTAAATATTCTAAAAAGGAGTACAGTTTATCCTTAAGAATTTCACAAATTCCAGGAGAAATCTTAAGTCAAGATTCTATCAAAGTACACCCTTACAAGACATGTATCTGATGAAGAAAAAAGGAGCTAAACCAATAATGTATTGCACTTTAGTAATTTCATCCGAATCTGTTAATACTGACCACAGGCCTTCCAGCTGCGGTTGGTGGTTGCTTTGCTAAAAGGGACTAAAAAACACAAAAGAGTTCTAGGTTAGATACTCAGCAAGTATCACTGTACTAAAAAAAAAAATATATATATATATATACACACACACACACACATATGTATGAACAGTTTACCCATCAACCATATAAATCTGCTTCTGATATAATTTCATACCTGCAGCTTCATAAGAAACACTTGGTCATCTTCTGCCACAATTTCCTTCTCATGTACAAACTGAAATGAGCAATGCATAAATGAGTGAGTCTAATATATTATGCTAAAACCATTAATAACACATTCTCTAGATTAGACTAGTTTTTAAAATTCAATATAAACAATACCTATATTTATAACAGTGAGCTGCCCTGCCCAAGCACTACAGCAGACCTGTCCAGTAACCATCTGCAATAGTAGGAGTGTCCCTGTGTCTGCTGTCCAATGTAGCCACCAGTCACCTGTAGCTAATATGGCTGTGACGGAAGTTCTGAAAGTTTAATTTTATTTAGTTTTACTTAATATGTATTTAAAGGTCGTATGTGACTAGTAGCTACTGTACTGAGGTATATCAATCATGCTTAGAGTCACAGGTATATCAATCATGCTCATAAAATATGTTAACCAATACTTCGGTGTTTTAAGAGGGTCACTAATATCCCAGCTGAGTGAAAAGCATTTTGCCCCTGGTTTCTCTGAAACAAAAACATAGTGACTCTTCTACCTGCTGAATAATTGGGCAAAAAGCAGCAGCAAATATCTCCTGCTTCTACTATATCTATATAATGCATGCATGCCATCATCTATTTTCTACCCAGCAGAGTGATTCTTTTAAAAGGTTAAGCAGATTACATCACTCCTCTGCTTAACACTCCCCCCATCCCCACCCCAAATTGCTTTCCATCCCACTCAGAATGAAATGCAAAGTCCTGACTCCAACCAAATGAGATCCTACAAGACGTTAACTCTCCTCTCCATCTCCTACCACTCCGGCCCTCCTCTTCACTCTTTTCCAGACTCTCTGCCCTCCTTACCCATTCCTGCTTCAGGGCAAGTGCACTTTCTGCTCCCTTTGCACACAGCATTCTCCCGTCTTATCAGAGCCATTCCCTACTGTTCTTACAACTGCAGACTTCCCCACCCCACTGCTCTCACTCACTCTCCCCTTACTTGGTTTTACTGCCACAGGACTTATCAGCACTTGAGAAATGACAGGTACATGGATTTACTTTTGCATCACCCTCCCATTTAGCACCTAGTGCCTGAACAGTGGCCCAGTCAGCATTTGTGGGATGAATAAAAGACAACTAATAGGAAAATTCTTTTGGTCAGAGAATGGGAAAAACTGTTGTTCTTTTCCTTCTTGATGTGTGCATTTCTTTTAATAGACATCCAAACCAAATACCATGCCAACTGATTTTTCATTTATCATTACTTTTCTTATTTCTAATTACCCACAAACAGAAAACAGATGCTTGATACTAGTGTTTGGATTTTTAAGAAAGAATCTTATTATATGTTGTCAAAATTATTCTTCCTGAAGCATGTCCAATTACATCACTGAGAAATACTGTTAGTAAACAGCTGTTTTTATACTTTTCAGAAATATCTGTAATATCTAAGTGTAGAACATCACATATTGCTTCACATGAAATCAAAACATATGAAAGAAGAGTACTTTATGGAAGCAGATTTAATAGTTACAGGTAGGTAACTGTTAAGAATAAGCCAGAAACTCCCGGACAGCTGTGGGCTAACACAGCTAACTAATGGCTACGGAGAAGATCTCAGATCCGCTTCAACAAATAGAAGCTAATAAAGTTATCCTACCAATGTTTTCTGGACTTCTAGCTGAGTTCAAGGTTGGGGGCTCACAGCATCAACCTATTCAAACTCTTCAAGATCCATACACTCACTCACACCAATCCATGATTTCCATTAGAATGCAGAACCTGCACTAATATTTTCTAATACTCCAGCTGAATTGCTGATTTATGTTTTGATAACACAGATCTTTATTTTGAACTGAACATCAGAAATGCCCAAATTATACTTAGAAACCTCATTGATAGGAAAGGACCCACTTATCTTTCTACCTATAATCTTAAAATTATGGACTCCCCCTTTCAGTTTAAAAGGCTAAGTATTGAGACTTTATACTAAAACCGTTACCTTTCGGACAGGTGGTTTGGTTATAATGTCTTCAAAATTATCTTCTGCTTTTAATGTTTGAAAATTTTCATGTAATATTCCTATTTTCTTATCATTATCCCACCCTGCTGGACTGGAAAGAAACGCACATGATAAATCTCAAGCATTTATATAGTCACTCCTTCATTAAATCCATAATCATATTAAAGAGAACAAATCTGACCAATTATGAAAAATTAATCAGCTTTTTATTACAATGCTCAAGTTACAGTTTACTAATTTTTACTTAAAAAGTTTCTCTATCTTCCTGATTTTAAAAATGCAGGTTTTTTTTCTCTTTTTGGGGAGGAGGGGTCTGGTTAATTATTATCTCTCAGTATATTCACAGAACTTTTTTAAAGGCATTTCTGCATTATACACTGGGTCCTTTATGTTTCAAAACCAATCAAAGAGTAAGTAAATATATGGGTATATGCACTCAACAGTTTAGCTATATATAATAGAAAGACCTTCCAAAAAGGGCTCAAGCCAGCAGTAAATCTAAAAGGCAAAAAAATAAATCAAGGCGGGTTATAAATAAAATAATCTAGGAACAAATTCTCATCTACTCATCATGGAAAGGTCTATTGGTTTCACCTCAAAAGTGAAAATGAGGATTCACCATCAAACTGTAGCAATAATACACAATAAAATAATACATTTAAGAGCATACTTACATAAATACTGCATCTTTTTCCACAACAACAGCAGGAATCTTATAGGGAAATCCATACAGTTTCTGAACGATATATTTATATACTAAATCTATATTTTTGTTTTCTTTTACTGAAGTGTAAATAAGCGCAGCACCATCTGAATAATACCATTAAAGAAAGTTCTGAACAAATTCCATGTACCATAAAATTGTGTTCTCAGTTGAACATTTCCATTTATATGTAAGTTAGTTTCAAAAATAATTCCCAAAAGTACATTATAGGGTAGTCAAGAATTTCTTTTCTTTTCTCGTTTTTTATTTTTAAGTAATCTCACAATGAACATGGGGCTTGAACTCACAACCCCGAGGTCAAGAGTTGCATACTCAACTAACTGAGCCAGCCAGGCACCAAGAATTTCCAAAGTATTAAAAAAATAAAAAATTTCTAAAGTATAAAATATACATAGGCTTAAATGCAAATAAAACAATCTTTACACAATTGGCTTAATTCAGGAGGGCAAAAATCTCCTTAAGCCAAGAAAGTAAAAGTAAATAAAATAATACTGACACTACTACTGCCTCTACATTTAAAGCAAGAGAAGAGGTACTGGTTGGTTTTTAACCCTTCTAAACTTCATGAAGGACAGATAGTACTTATCAACAACTGTTGGGCTTGCATTTTCAAAAACGATGGTTTGTACTAGTGTGTCTTGTGGTTTTCACTGCTCCCGAGAATTAGGACTTTAGGGACAAAGCTCAGGAGACACACTGAAGAGAAAAGACGAACCAATAGATACCACCAGGAAACTTTCAGGAATGATTCAAAGCAAACATATTTCGTGACCAAAACTTGGGGTAAAACATCCTCGTGAGGATATATTAATTAAAGCAGACCCTAATTTTGACCTTTTATCCAGATGATACAGTAGATCCGAAGATCAAGAAAGGCCTGTCGAAAACGGGGTAATGTGACTACTGGAAGAAGATAGTGCCTATCAGAAATTCCATGGCCACAGCTAAGAACCATGCTCTAACACTGGCCACTGCGTCCCAAGAGAGACGGTAACTTAGACCAAGAGGACATGCTGGGAATGGTCAAACCTCTACTTCTGAACTGGGAGATTCATAGCCTCTAGTGCATGAACCAAGGCTTATGAATCTAAAAGTAGTATTGCCAAACATGGCTTATCATAAAACTTGACAGAAACAAACATAACTTCAGTAAAGGCTTAACTGTGTAAACTTTACATTAATGATCTTTTCTCATGAGAACCAATTTATGATATAGCTGAAAAATTTACATTGCAATTAACATTTTAAAAACTTAAAAATGATTTTGAACTGTTGCCTTCACGCATGCATACACATGCACCTATCTTGAAGTGATTTCTCAGTTTGTATTTTTTTATTTTTACTATTTTTTTAATGTTAATTTATTTTTGAGAGAGAGAGACAGAGCATGAGCAGGGGAGGGGCAGAGAGAGAGAGAGAGAGAGAGGAAGACACAGAATCCAAAGCAGGCTCCAGGCTCTGAGCTGTCAGCACGGAGCCCAATGTAGGGCTTGAGCCCAGGGATTGTGAGATCATGACCTGAGCCGAAGTCAGACACTCAACTGACTGAGCTACCCAGGAGCCTCTGTATTTCTTTCTTTTTTTTTTTTTTTTTATCAATGGGCCTTACTAAAGGTCTGTGATTATTTTAGTGGACAGTCTCCCTCCTGATTACATTTCTGTATGTATATTTTGAAGAACAGCATTAAATAAATATTTAAAGAGACTACTTCTTCTAAATTTGCTAATCTTCAATAATAAAGTTTGTTTGTTTTTTAAAGACTCTTTATGTAGACAAATGCCCTTTAATTCAACCCAAGTCAACCATTACGTGACACGATAAAAGAAAGGGCCACAGAGAGACAAAGTACTCAGAGGAAAGGAGTGGAAAAGTGCCAGGGTCAAGAGATCTTACAGCTCTTCTCAGTGCACTCAAGCTGTGACCAAGTTTTCAACAGCAAATTCTCTTAAAAGCATTCATTTTATCCTTCTTTTAGTGATGTATGTGATTCAGTGGCTCTTCTAATCTTCGCAATCTAGACAAGATTCCTTATAGGTTTTCTAACCTTGTGATCATCAAAATCTTTCAGAAAGCTTTTTAAAAGTACAGATTCTTCAGCCTCGCCCTGAAATGTTCCAATTCGGCAAGTCTGAGCTGGGCACAGCCAGATTTAGAAACCAGTGCTTTAGGCTATACGTGGAGATGGTAACATACTGAACATATTAGAAATGAGAACACACAAACCTAAATATTGATCCTGCCCTATCACTACTCCCAATAAATGAATACTGCTTTGTAATCACAATGTCTTCAATGCCAGTTCATTAGAATTTTCCACAAAAGACTAATTATTATTTTTCTTAAGCACAGTACTTTAAAACACAGCAAACCAAAGTTAAAGATTTAAATACTTGCTTTTATAGCTCAAAATACCCAGATACAAATGATTTGGGAGCTAAAATGAAATTCCTAACCAGAGCAGGAGGAAAAAAGTTTATGGAATTTCTTAAGGCTACCAATATAATTCCATTAACTGAAAAAAACAAATAGGAAAGGTACACTGCACCAATCAATGTAGTAAAAGGATACACTGTAAACAAAACTTCCGGATATGTGACTGAATAAAATCAAAATGTTCATCTCTGTAGTCATGTTCTTTCTCCAATAAACTAATGGCATCACACTGCAGAGAAAATAATTAAAAGAAAAAAAGCAATAAAAACATTAACTTTAAAGAATCAAAGTTAAATACAATGATTTAAATAGTTTGATTTTGGGTGGGGGAATATCACAAAACTATCACTCTGATATGGTGACTATCAAAGTATTAGAATATCAATTACTCCTGTCTAAGATTCTTTCAGTTGGAGACAAGGCTAAGGAATAATTTTATTTCTTTAAAAAGTATTAATGTCCATGTTATATTGAACATGGTGAAAATGCCAAAGAGAAAGTTTCATTACATAAAGAATGAAGGCCAACAGGACAAACAAATGGGTGCTCATACTTGCTGACTCAACTACTTAAGAACTAGACAAAGTTTTTAAGATCTAAAATCTATTCTAGTTCTACAAAACACTCTATATCCAGGGAGTCCGTACTTTTCCCTATTTCCTTCCTTGTTCCCGTTTATCTGATAACTCTTAATTGACTTTCATTTCTTTTCTGGTTCTTTTATTCACTCTTAACTACAATCTCATCAATAGCAAAAATAAAAGGGGGAGTGCGGGATTGCAGGCTATTTTTGAGCTGTCACCTATACAATCATTTAGACAACACTGAATTCTGCTTGCTATAGAAAAATGTTACAAAATAAATAAACATCATGATATCCAAATTACTTCACCAAAACCTTTCTGAATTTAAGGTATGAAATCTAACAATCATCATGTAATAATGCTCATTATATCTAATATTAGTTTGGGGTCAAATTTGATACGTAGTTTTTTGCTATGTGCACGTACACATCATACAAAAGAATCTCTCTGCATCATCATGATACAGAATGTAGTTCATTTTATAGAACACAGTAATTACTTCAAATTACTAAAAATACTTATAATTATGATACTACTGACTTATGACACTTTTGGTGAAACACAATTGTTTAGTAAAAACATTTTTTTAAACAGATGTCTTTTATTTATTTATTTATTTATTTAAAAATGTTTATTTATTTTGAGAGAGAGAGTGTGTGTGAGCAGGGAGGGGCAGACAGAGAGGAAGAGAGCAGAGTCTGCTCTCAGTGCAGAGCCTGAAGACGCGGGGCTTGATCTCACGACCATGAGATCATGACCTGAGCCAAACTCAAGAGTCAGACACTTAAGCGACTCAGCCACCCAGGTGCCTCTAGTAAAAATGTTTTTCAATGAAATACGAGGGTCTAGACCTAAGGCAAGACACTTAGCCTCTCCGAATCTCAGTTTCCAGAATCTTGAAGTTAAGGTGTACCACCGTTATTTCTCCATCCTGAGACACCCATCCTCCCACCCCCCTACACATTTTAAAAGCTCCTAAGCTAACATACAACTGACGGTTGTCTTAGAGTCTGAGAAATCCAGTAGATAATCTCCTTTGACTTGAGAATTTTATAAATCTATGACTCATCTGACACGAATTCAGGTCCCTATAAGCTTAGCATTTTTCCTTTGAATATAAGACGTTTTTATAAGAGGCATGTTGTGGTGTAAAACAGAATATCTGCCAACAAACAGCTCTTTGTTGAAAAAATGAAACAAAACAAACCACACACAAAAGCATTCTAGTGCGAGAGTTTAAACACAGTTTTACAGAAAAGGTGTGTAACTTTACACCACAATCACTATTTAAAAAGCAGACACAAGACTTTAATTATTTTAACTATCCCCATCCCTTTGTTATTGATAATTTTCATAGTTTATAAAGTTAAAACTTAACTAGATTAAAAAATTTTAATCATTTTTATTCTAAAGATGAGTAAGTTCTATACCTTCCTTCAATTACATGTGCAAATTTTTACATTTTACAAAAAACAGTAATTTTTAGATCTCAAAATGGTTTATATATTCTATCATTTCCTTAATTACTGCATGACTTACAAATAATAAAGACCTACTACTTAGGAACAAATGGGAAGAGGATGAACTCGAACTATAAATTACTTTTAAAGGAAATTTGATTATAAAGTGTATACAGTGACAGAACTCATTAACAGAATTTTGATGACAGCAATCCTATCAGAACCTCTTTAGTAAATAAAAAGCTCTTGATAATTGCATATCAATTTTACATAATGAGTGGTGGTAGATGTTGAAGTCTATTTGATTTTAAGTACATAATCTTCTGATTTAGGATATCAGTGTATCACAATTTAATGTGGAAAATACATTATTTTGTAAAAATTAATACTGAAGTTATCATCTGACCTGTATTACTTCTACTCAACCGACTCTACAATGAAGCCTAACTGAAATTAGGAATATGAAATTCAATCACAAACAGAATATGTGAAGTAACATTTTCTTTCAAAGGAACTATGATTAAGATCAGAAAATCAACATGTGATTATCATTCCATATTTTAAACTATTATTTATATTTGCTAAAAAAGATTATCTAGGAAAGCTAATGTGCCAAATCCAAAAGGAAGCTGGAAAACAAAATGGTTGTTCACCCACGGTTAATGCCACCAGTAGAATCTCTAGGAAGGAGGCTAACCTTTGTGCAAACTACTAGTACTGGGATGCCCAAGTTATGTGTAAGTGTGTCCGCACCCAGAGGTAAAACCACACTGTCGTCTTTATCTTCTTGTGACCCAGTATTTCTTCTCTGAGGAGAGGCTGGAAAATCTTCTCCCGGCTCTACATATTCTTGGAAGTCTCTAATCACTGAAAATCAAAGTAAATAACTTAATATGTGGTTCAGAAATTGCTTCATTTCAGCAGGTATAATCTCAATACGTATTTTATGAGAGTTTATATTTAGTCTTGTGTAAGAGAAGAAACGGAAAGGGTTTGAGAAATCTGTCTCAAAGACAGAACAGAAACAGCAGACTCACATTAATTATGAGGAGGCAGAGTACAGCACTGAGTGCGTTCCAAAGAGTGGGGTGCAATGTAAGCTGGTTCTGCCTGGGCAAATTACTTTGGGCAAGTCACAACCCAGCTTTGCCTCTCTATATTCTCTAATTCACAGAGGTCACTGAAAGGATTAAAAAAAAAATGGGTGTGCATGTGTGTGGGGGGGCGCTCCACAATTTAAAAGATCCAGATGACTTTCTAATATTACTTTCCTTTCTCTAAAGACCTTCACTCAGGTCTCCTTACCTAGGTGCTAGGCCATATTCATTCTGTAACCCTGGTAAAAATTAATGCGATATTCCCAACGCTGATAAATTTTTAGAACTCATTTGCAAGACTGTCAAAACCTTCACTTAACAAAAAGTCAACGTGATTGTATTAAGAGCCTTAACAATGTATACTCTGACTCCGTGATTACTCTTAAAGAATTCTCAAGGAAATAATCGGTGATACAGGATTTCTATATAAGGCTGCTTTCCAAGTTTAAAAGCAAAATAACAAATCTGGAAACAAATGATTCACAGCGTAGGATTAAAACTGTATATGAAGGAATTCTTTTAAAAATTCTTTTTATTTTTATTTTTGAGAGAGAGAGAGGGGGTGGGGGGAGAGCAGGGGAGAGGAGCAGAGGGAGAGAAAATCTCAAGCAGGCTCCATGCTCGCCCAGAGCCCAACATGTGGCTCAATCCCATGACCGTGGGATCATGATCTGAGCCCAAATCAAGAGTTTGATGCTCAACCGACTGAGCTACCCAGGCGCCCCAAGACTGTGTATTTCTGACAAGCTCCCAGCTTGACGGAGGGAATATACATGAGGGAATAGGGAATTCTCTATAGAATCATAAAGGAGGAAAACTCTTAAACTTACATGGGGTCAAGAAGAGGGAACCTTGGGCGGTTGAGTGCAGTTCCTCCAGGAACCCAGGGGCATGCGCACAACCTTGGCAGATCTGGTAGCTACTACCCTTCAAATCAAAGGGTGAAATCTAACAGTGATTCTCAAGTTTTAGCATGAGCACCAGAGTAACTGATTCAGTAGTCAGGGGTAGAGCCTAAGACTGTGTTCTTCTAATTTTTTTTTTTTTTTAATGTCTTATTTATTTCTGAGAGAGAGACAGAATGAGCAGGGGAGGGTCAGAGAGCAGGAGATACAGAATCTGAAACAGGCTCCAGACCCGACGAGGGGCTCAAACCCACAAACCGTGAGATCATGACCCCGAGCCGAAGCCGGACACTTAACCGACTGAGCCACCCCGGCGCCCCAAGACTGTGTATTTCTGACAAGCTCCCAGCTGTACTGATACTGATGCTGTTGGTCCTGGGACCACAAACTGAGACCCACTACTATAGTATAAACTGAGGGGGGAAAAACAGACCCAAAGGCAATGGCCAATAGGGAAAAAGAGGTACAGATTAAAAGCAGTTAGACATCTATTTCAGTAATTTAGGACATAGATTCTCCTCAGTCCCTACTATTTCCTCGCATATAAATTCCAGTAAGCTATCAATCTTCCTCTAAAAATTATAATCAGCTAACAATAACAAAGAGAAGCAGATTCCATCTGCATATTTTGTTAAGCAAAGGACATTGGCAAATGAATAACTCTCAGTGAAATTAAGAACTGTGACAAGTGACTTACAATTTGTTAGAGATAACCCTTGTTTTCATAATTTATTTGAAAACTTCCAATTTACATGGGTATGTACAAATATATACTTTGTAAATCATAAAACCAGTTTAACATTTTTATATTTACGTTGTTAACATTTTTGGGGCACATTTCATGTTGACAACGTTGATAAGAGTGCTTTATTTACCAAGAAATGACACTGCTGAAAATAAACAGTTGAAAAAGATTCAAATTTTTTTTTAATCCTGAAAATCTACTTCCCAAATGAATATTTACATCCCTTTGGCAAAGGAGAAAAGGCACCTCTACTGCGCAGTCTGCCATTATGTATAGGTTTCCAATTTAAAACTACATGAAAACCTAGCACATCAAATTGAATTTCAAAAACAGTAGTCACATCATGTTTCCTTCATTCAACCTTATTCAAAGTCAAAAAAATGCTAACAGTTACAGTAGCTAGGACATCAGGTGTTTGAAATCTATATTCCTATTTCCAGACTACTCACACTTTTGTTCCATTTCTTTCATTTCTTCAGGAGGAATTTTCAATTTGTCAATATGTTCTCTAACAACACTTGCCCATTTCTGCAAAGAATCCAAAGCAGTCCAAGGCTTTGACATATCAACAACCAGCATAACTAGAGTGTCCTTCAGAGAAATGGCATCCAGTGAAAATCTGAGGAGGCCCTTGTGATACAGGTCTCCATCTAAGATCCATACGTTACATCTTGTTTGATCTACAAGAGACAAAAGAAAATTACCAAGGCAACAGGATTAAGTTATTCCATTACCCAGCTAACAATACTACTTGGTATTTTACGGCATCTCCACAGAGGATGTCTCCTTTGACAAGGTTCGACTACTTAGGTCACAGCTATCAATTTAATAATTGTTCAATTTAATAATTTAAATTTAAATTGTTCAATTTTATAATTTAATAAATGTTCAGGAAAATAATTTAACTGCCAACACAGAACACCAACAGCCTGTACTTCTTATTTCTCAATCCCAAATCACAGGCTGAATAACATGTTTCTATTCTTACCATCAGCATAGAGAGCTGTGCATATTCAAGATATTATACACGGAAATGAGAACACAAGTGATGTGTACAAGAAAAGAAGAGCTGATCAGATTGAAAACAGCTGGGGAGTAGATGGTATTTTTGTGTCAAAAATGAGAAGGTGAAAAGGGATTGGCAAAACAACCACAGGATATTATTACTTCAAAATTTGAGGGAAAATGAACTGAAAAGTTGAGATACTTGAAGGATAGCAAGAAAGCTAAAGTCTGCACATTAGAATACCTTCAGATGTTAAAAAAATATCACCATAAGAATTCCAATCCCAAGCCAATAACAGTACGTCCACACATAACTGGCAGGACACAGCAGGACCCCCAGTAAAAGATGCCACACTAAGAAAAGTCAAAGACTAACATGAGCAGGCGACAAACCTCAGAAAGGCCTCGGACACTTGGTTTACGTACAAACGACACTCACCGTCTCGGTCTTCATCGTGAACATTTAAGTACAAATATTCCAGTCCTCTTCCTTTCTTATACTCTTCTATCCCCTGAATTTTTCTTATTAAGCTTGTTTTTCCAGCTCCATCCTCACCTGTAAAAAAGGACAATCCTTTTAAACTATAATATGGATTCTTTTAAGGATGCTTTTTAGTGTCAAGTGAAAAACTCCACTGGAACTAACTTCAACCAAAAGGGGAACTTGATGGAAGATATCTCGGTAACTATAAAGTTGAAGATGCTGACTTCCCCTCCTGGATTCTTTGTCCTGGTGTCTCTGCTCTTCCTTTAAAATCTGGTTCTATCCCATTACAAATGGCTTCCTCTGTGGGCATTTTTCAGGAAGTTCAACTTTTATGTCATCCTAGTTTATCTAAAAGGAACAAAAGACTTTCTCTATTGGCTTTCAGTCTGAAGAATCTCAGGTAAAGACTCTTAACTAGCCCAGTTTGGGTCATGTGACCACCCATGGGCCACTCGTGGAGAATGGAAGATACATCAAAATTGACCAGGCAGGGAATTGTGGCTATAGCCTCACCAAAACCGTAAAGAAATATTCATAAGAAATATTAATAAGCGAGAGGGGTGGGGATAGTAAATTGAATAAGAACAAGGGTACAGGGAATGCAGAACAGACAAAAATAAAATGTAGACTAAAAAAATATTAATAGAAGAACATAAGAAACAGCAAATATTTGGTAAGGATGTATAGAAAAGTAACCCTCATGCACTGCTGGTGGGAATGCAAACTGGCACAGCCATTATGGAAAACAGTATGGAGGTTCCTCAAAAGTTTAAGATGGAACTACCCTACCGAACAGTAATCACCCTATGGAGTATTTACTCCAAAATACAAAAACACTAATTCGAAGGGATACATTCACCCTTATGTTTACCGCAGCATTATTTACAAATTATGGAGGGGGCTCAAGTTCCCATCGACAGATGAATGGATAAAGATGTGGTGTGTATGTACAATTCAGTCATAAAAAGGAATGAAATCTTGCCATTTGCAACAACAAGGATGGAGGCTGGAGTATAATGCTATGTGAAATAAGTAAGAGAAAGACAAATACCACATGATTTTATTCACATGTGGAATTTAAGAAAGAAAACAAGCAAAGGAAAAAAACAGAGACAAACCAAGAAACAGACACTGAATCACAAAGAACAAACTGATGGTTACCAGAAGGGAGGAGGTGGGGCATGGGTGAAATAGGGGATGGGGATTAAAGAGAACATTTATCATGACAAGCACTGAGTAAAGTATAAAACTGCTGAATCAGTATATGGTACACCTGATACTAATATAACATTGTATGTTAATGATACTGAAATTAAAATAAACAACTTAAAGGGTGCCTGGGCGGCTCAGTGGGTTAAGCATCTGACCTTTGATTTCACCACAGGTTCATGATGATCTCATGGTTCGTGGGACTGACCCCTATGCTGGGCTCTGCACTGACCCCACAGAGCCTGTGTGGGATTCTCCCTCTCCTTCTCTCTTTGCCCCTCCCCCGCTTGCATGCCCCCCCTCAAATAAACATTTAAAAAAAAAACAAAAAAAAAGGACTTAATACAAATATTAGTAGCCAGAAATTACATGATTTAAACTTGACAAAAGTTATAAACTTTAAAACAATGTTTTGGCGAGGATTTTTAAATATCATAAATCTATTTAAATTCTACATATTTCTGTCCCATGGGCTTAGTTACTTTTTAAAAAATTTTTTAATGTTTATTTATTTTTGAGAGACAGAGAAACAGAGCGTGAATGCAGGAGGGGCAGAGAGAGAGGGAGACACAGAATCCAAAGCAGGCTCCAGGCTCTGAGCTGTCAGTAGAGCCCTAGATGGGCTTCACACTCATGGACCACAAGATCATGACCTGAGCCAAAGTTGGACGCTTAACCAACGGAGCCATTCAGGCACCTGTGAACTTGTCTAGTTATTAGCAATATCATGTTAATGGTACTTATAAATGTGAATTTCTTAGATCTAAGGACTTATTCCTGAAGAACATTCATGAGTTCTCTGAAAATTTAGAAATTGTTTTCATGTTAAACTTAAAAAAACTATATAGGTCTTGGATCTTCTGAATGACCGTCTTTATATCTAAGTGTTGCCACAAGACTGCAGTACTCACTTCTGCACAGGTGTTTATAATCCTACTGGTGACAAGCTGAGGCCAAGTAATGCAGACAGAACAGAGAGAAGACACACAGACCTGTCAAACTCAAAGGAAAGTACCCCAGAGTAGGCAGTCCTATATTCAATTGAACTGGGCAGACTGGTTCTTTTTACGAACTATTTTCCAACACTTCATAGCAATCAGTGTCACCTTAAGTAGGCAATAAAGAACGTGTCATTAAATGAGTACTTCTTTTTCAGCACTATTTTTGCTGTGTGCTACTAAAATGTCCACTAAAATAACAGATTGGGTTGAAAATAGTAGTATCTGTGATAATGACAATGATTATACCCATGATGATCCATCATGCTTAAATGGATATAATAAAGTTAACCAGTAAAAAATAGAATACACAAACACTTCTGCTATTAAACCCAACACTGGCTTTAATTTCAGTGGAAAATGTGTTATATTGATTGCTAATTTGAATTTTATCAATTCATTTCACTGGACTAATGGTTCTCAAAAATGTACCAGACTCACCTGGGGGGCTTCTTAAACACACATTGCTGGGCCTCCCCTGCTGGGTTTCTGATTCAGTAAGTTTGGGGTGGGGTCCAAGAATCTGCATTTCTAACGAGCAACCAGGGCCGCTTCTGCTGCCAGTGTTGGGACCGCACTCTGAGGAATCACTCCATTAGACATCTACTACACTAAGTACTAGGAATACAAAGATCCATATATCAAAGTCACTGTCCTGTAGGAGGCTCACGAAACTGGGGAGGGAAAACAAATAGGGGATGATTTCAAGACACTGTCATCAGGTCTACACTGGAGATATGCAACAGCCAGGAAGCCAGCCCTGTGGCAATACCCTAGTCTTGCCAGGAAGTCAGAAAGGGCTTTGTAGAGATGGCAGGTAACACTTCAGCCAAATCTTGTAGCGTTAATGAGCCATGGACAGCTAGTCATTCCAGGAAGTAAGGAAAGCATATACAGAGGCCTGGAGGCAAAGAAGTGTCCTTCTACAAAGGACAAATAGTTTGAATGAATGTTAGGGTGTGAGGGGAAAAGGAGCCAGAGTGAGAACAAGTACAGAATGCCAGATCATGAAGGGCATCTTATGACAGGCTGAGAAGGTCACACTTGATTCTGAAGATAATGGGGAGCCACTGGCAGTGTTGAGGTATTTTAGAAAGACCTCTAGGGCAAAATTGATAAGTTTAGGGATAAAGAGACTAGGTAACTAGGTATTACTGGTATTATTACTCCTAGCAAGAAAGGAGGTAGGCTTGAACTAAGGTAATAGTGGTGGGGACAGCTGTACTCAAAGCAGACTTAGTTGGGAGTTGGCAGAGGGAGGAGGAGGAAGACACAGACATCAGACAAGGTTCTCTCCTCACTGCTTCAGGAACAGCACCCTCTCCTACTCAACCACTTAGCCTCTGAGGTGGCTGGTCCTGTGTCTTCCTTGCAGGCTGCTCTTCCATCCCCACCCAGTGTTTGTATTCTCCAGGGTTCCTTCCTCAGCCTTCTTCTCTTCTCACTCTGAATGCAATTCCAGGAGAAGCTCCGAACACAACTTCCATACCCTCTATGATCTGGTGACACAGGGATTTCCTTCCAGCCTTAGCCTCTCCTGAACTGCTAAATGGCCATCACTACTTGGATGTCTCTTCATACCAGATACTTCATTTGCAAATATCGTCTCCTATCTGATAGGTTGCCTTTTGATTATGGCCTTTACTGTGTAGAAGTTTGTGGGGGTTTTGGTTTTTTTTACATTTATTTTTGCTTTTACTTTCCTTGCCTCAGGAGACATATCTAGAAAAATGTTGCTACAGACACTGTTAGAGAAATTACTGCCTGTGCTCTCTTCTAGGGCTGTAATCCACTTTGAGTTTATTTTTGCACATGGTGTAAGAAAGTGGTCCAGTTTCATTCTTTTGCAGATAGCTGTCTGGTTTTCCCAGTACCAGCTGTTGAAGACACTGTCGTTTTCCCATTATATATTCTTTCCTCCTTTCTCGAAGATTGACCATATAAACAATTATATGGCTTATCTCTGGGTTTTCTATTCTGTTCCATTGATCTATTTGCCTCTTTTGGTGCCAGTACCATATTGTTTTGATTACTACAGCTTTGTAATATAACTTGAAGTCAGGAATTGTGGCACCTCCAGTTTTGTTTTTCTTTTTCAAGATTGCTTTGGCTATCTGCGGTCTTTTGTGGTTCCATACAAATTTTAGGACCGAGGTATTCTAGTTCTATGAAAATGCTGTTGATATTACAAAGACGTAGTCTTGTTCTACTGTTATACATATCTTCTAACCACATTATTTGTTAGAGTTTTTTTCCCTCTTTTTTTAGATCTTTAGGCATTTAACTCCTGGCCTCTGCCTGGTTCTCTTCTCACTATATAAACATGCTACTCAAAAGTAAACATTCACACTGGGGCACCTGGGTGGCTCAGTCGGTTAAGCATCCGACTTTGGCTCAGGTCACGATCTCACGGTTCATGGGTTCGAGTCCTGTGTCGGCTATGTGCTGACAGCTCAGAGCCTGGAGCCTGCTTCAGATTCTGTGTCTCCCTCTTTCTCTGACCCTCCCCTGCTCACACTGTCTCTCTCTCAGAAATAAATAAAACATTAAAAAAAAAAAGTGAACATTCACTAAATTCTTACCACACTCCAATCCATTCCCCATCCTGCAGCTGAGTGATCTTCCTGAAACAATTTCCTCATGCCATTTCTGCCTCATAAGACCCTTCAGGGTATTCTAGTTAATGACATATGAAAGTTGAAGTATTTAGAGCGGAAATAAACTAATATCAGCAACTTACTTTGTAACGCATAAATAAAAGGGTGGAGCAGTGAAACATTTATGTGATAAAGCAAATACAGTTAAATGTTGATGGTAGAATCTAGGTTTGGGTATGTGAATATTCACTTCAGAATTCCTCCA